ACGGGGCACCGGGATATGACGACATAACGAACGAGACCCTTCGGCAAACACTCCCAACCTTGAAGGAGACCTGGGCGCGCACATTTACAGAACTCTTGAACGAGCGCCGGCATCCCAAGGAATCAAACGAGGCAGATGCTTGCTTCTTCCGAAACCCCGTCGAGACCCCAGAAAAGCCAATTCGTGGAGGCCCGTAGTCCTACAGTCTTGCGTCAGCAAGCTGCTGGAGGGGGTGATAGCAGACCGAATATACCACGAAATTGCCTCAGCACTGCACTGTCCCGAGATCTTCGGGTTTGTTCGGTCTAAATCCAGCGATCAGGCCGTGCATCGCATCTGTAAAAACTACCGATCAGCAATGCATCGAGGACACGTCGTGGCTACTTGTCTAGACATACAGAATGCGTTTAATTGCCTTCGACACGACTATATAATTAAGACCCTCGTATCGCTGGGAACTTCGGAATATTTGGTCAGCTTCATACGAAGCTATCTGGAGAACCAGAGCGTCACTACTGAATTCGGAGTCCACGGTGCGTCAATAGCCCTTCAGGTGGGAGTCCCTCAAGGGAGTCGGTTAGGGCCCTTGATTTTCACGGCTTGTATCACCCGCCTAATAGAGAGCCTGAGAACAATTGAAGGAGTCGACTGTGTCGTGACAGCATATGCCGACGATCTGACGATCATTCTCAGTGGACCGACTCGAAAACACATCCGCGCACTGTGGGCACGAGTGAAGAAGCGCCTGAACAAGTGGTGTGAGGTGAGTGGGCTTTCGATAGACATGGAGAAGTCCAGTTGCCTGTCTCCCCGCAAGCCACCCCATTTTTCTCTCAAGGGGAAGGTCCTCAGGCGGAGTAAGACCGTTCGAGTGCTGGGAGTGCATCTCGACCAGAGGATGAACTTCAGATTTCATGTGAAGAAGACTTGCGAGACTGCCATACAGCGCCTCGGTAGGCTGCGCAGACTGGGTGTAGAGAGGGCGGCGCTTAGCAGCCGAGGGATTCTCGCTACCTATGAGAAGTCCATTGTGCCCTACATCTCATACAGTGTGCAGTCATGGCAGGAGGCGCTCAAGGAGGAGTGGTGCCAAAAACTGCTCTCAAAAGTCACCGCCTTTGCTGCGCGCATGGCCACGAAGGCACCGCGAAGAGCCGCGAATTCGGCGGTGATAGCGCTTTCGGGCCTCACGCCCCCGCATTTGGTACTCGCGGGTCTTGCGGCTAGAGCAGAGGCACGGGAGCATCAGAGAATCTCCTTGCGAGGTTTCCTGAATGATGGCGGAACACCCGAGCTGCGGATCACCGAGGGATGGCATCTGCACCCACTTGCGCCATGGGATGGCGGATTGAATATAGTTATCCAAACGACAGAAGCGGCCACGGCTTTCGCATGCTTGGCTCCGAGCAACCGCGCCATTTTCACTGATGGGTCACTCACCTCATCAGTGCATGCGGGCGCAGCGATAGCTGTGTACTCGGACGGCGATGAGATCTTCCGCGAGGACTACAGATTGCCGGATCACTGCACCATATCGCAGTGTGAAATGGTCGCCCTCGAGAGAGCCGACAAACAGAGCGGAGCGCGATAGCATGTAGAGTGGTGAGGCATGTAGCGGACACCGATATTGCTCGCCGCCCACGATTGAGATGGTGCCCATCGCATGTTGGTATAGTAGGGAATGAAAGAGCTGACGAGCTATGTAGGACGGCCTCGTCCCCATTCAGAACTTACTCCATAGCGTGGTCTAGAACACACACTAAAAACGTGGTTCGTGACAAAGTATCGGAGGCCGCGAGCACATGGTGGAATACCACCAGAGAAACCTTGGGTTCCACTGTGCGCTCTATATTCAGTACCTTCTCAGCAGCTTCGGAGTTTGCGAGATACGAGACATCGCCAGCGCTCATGGCACTCGTGACCGGGCAGTTACCGACGCCGCATCTGCGCCATCTACAACGGTTGAGGCCATCCCCCAGTTGTCCATGTGGTAACCCGGACGGCTGCACGCTCCATCTAGTAGAGAGCTGTGCACTTTTGAATGATGCCAGAAGAGCGGCGGGGATAAGGCCATCAGGTATTCAATTAGATAAGTTAGTCGCTGACGGTAAGCACAGGAAGCGGCTCTTGACATTGAGCGAGTGCGTTTTGGAGTTTTGCTTGAACCTTAGGAAGGCCGAAGACGAATACGTCGCTTCCTCTTAGTCTCAGGCCTGTCTTCCTGATGCAAATCACAGACTGTGAGCCATGAAGCTTGCAGACGCGAGATTCCGGACGAGGTCAGCCAAGCCGTGCTTCAAGAGAGCGGGAGAGTCTTCCAGCGGCATCGTGGCTGATGATGAACTCTTTAACCTTCGCACTGTAGTACAGCCAATACTACGTACCAGTGTTCCGCCTGTCTCTTTGCGGGCTCTGTTTATTTGTTTGATTGGTTAAGGTTGATGAACGTTTCACTTGTGACTCGTATAATCTACCATGTCAAACGTGTATAATTCTGTTTCCACAAAAAAAAGTCGTGCCGGACGTAGTTTTCGAGTTCCGTAATTGAATGCCCATTCCCAACACTCCGACTAGCCCATCTTCCGAGCCTTTACTGTCCCATCAACGTCTATCATTCCTATGCTGGTCATCCCACTCATCGGTACTCAGGTCTTTCCAGCGTCGTTGTGGAGACTCTTTGGTGGCAGGTATTCACTGAGGATGTCACCCCAGAGGAACAAGTGGCTTCACCAGCAGGTTATAAGTTGCCGCCCTTGTGGGAGCACTCAATGCTGTCGTTGTAAGCGCGTCCTCAACGCGGTTGGGTTATCTCTCTTGGTGAGTATATTGTATCCATCTTGAGGTTGTTAATGCTCTTCCCAGGACTACACATCTGTTGCGGCATTCGCAACAGGCTGTCAACGCTTACGTCCTGGCGGTTTCGATGGTCGTTCTGGGCACAGCCTCACTGTATGCTGGAATGGAAACACCGTTTATCTTGCCAGTGGTCTCGACAGTATGTCTCGGTCAATGAGTGATGTGTAGGTTCTCGCAGGCCTCGGTATCGTCTGAATGGTGCCTGCAGGTATTGCAGTGTTGATAGCGGTCGTTCATGGGGACGTCGAACAATTTCGGCCGAATGGTCTGAGACTTTTCGTGGAACGACCTATGGAACGACGTTTGGCGGTCGCACGTGGACGGAAGTCATTCCTGTTGATCCGAACGGATCATTCTCACCGCGCTGTAATCTCGCCTGTACTATTCTGCACAGAGTGTGCAGCACAATGGAAGGTGAATAGTTGCTACGTCGTATGTAATAAAGGCTCTTATCGTTTCAAAATTGTTGTTTGCGGAGAGCTTGGTATGGACAACATCCACCTCAATTACGTTTGGTGCTCTGACGAGTCCGGTGGAAGTTGGCAACGCCTGCCTGCGTGCGCCTCATGGGAACCCCGATGGGCCATGGGATTCAGCACCATCAACGGTGAGTTCCCTTCCAATGTGTATTGTTGAGAGTATGCCTGGTACGGTAGGTGGCTAGTCGATGATCATCATGATCATCATCGGGATGATCAGATCATGGTCGGCTACTATGACAGATTTCCTTTCTAACTTGTGGAGGTCAGACGGTGGCGGAGTGTCGTGGAAAGAGGTAGGCCTGACTGTCGGGCCCCGACAGGTCAGTAACTAGGAACGCTTCATGATTGACATTATCTTTGGACATTTTATATGTTATATACTGTTGCGAGTGATTGTCTATACAATCCGGGAATACGATGATGGAATGAGGAAATTGTTGAATGTGGAAATTGTTAACAACTGGTCGATTGAAATATCACCGCAATGGTTCAAACCAGTGGTTTTAATAACAGGGCAAAAACTTGTAAGGCTTGATTGAACTTATCCGATGTGGAAAATATTCACCATATGCTCAGCTAAGGGATTCCTTTACCCAAGAGAGACTCATTTTGTGCTACGGGGGATTGGGACCAGCTGCAAGTCAACAGCATCTTTCATGTTCGAGTAGTCATTCTCAGCTGAGATTACACCAACCTCGTAGGAGAATTCGAAAGTCCACCGTCCAACACGATCCATCATCAATCTCATACAACGATCATCGACAACATAAATAGACCGTCACGGGGGTATACTATGCTAAAGTATCACTGTTTGTCCTTCGCGTTAACAAATCAAGTATTCCATAACAGAGGACCAAACTACTACAGAACCTTCTCAGGTAATGTGTGTAAAAATTTGGTTTCGTGTACATGCGTTCAAACTAGCTCTCTGGCCGGCGGAGTCAATATAGGATGGCTACCGACGTCAATCAACCTCACCACTTCCCTTGGCATGATCAGCGGAGGTAGCGGGTGA